TTTGGGATTTAAGACAAGTCTGGGGCTATCCTAACTTTAGGAGGTTATTTACGATGATTTTTAAGAAGAAAAAAAGAAGAAGAATTTTTGGGAATACAACATATTCTTAACTTTTTTCTCAAGTTAAAAAATAAGAAAATGGCAGTTAAGAAAACTTTTTTGTTCACGAAAGAATGTTTTGGGAATCTGGCCCCTGGTTCCTGATTGTGCACTCCAGAGGAAAGCACTGTGTTATTATATGAAATAAATATAGTTTTGACCCCAAAGCTTTGATAGTGTGGGGTGTACAGTACGTGACCTTCTGCTCAACACATGCTGCTTCAAAGACTGAACTCCCTAAGTCCTCACTATGTGTTCCTGCTTTTAACTCAAGACCCATCTACGCCAACCGAACATCATCCACTCTCCCTTTCCTTCTCATATTTGTTTTCCGAGTACACTGAGGATTAATATTCAATAGAAAGATTAATATTGCAAAATCAAATAAATGCAAAATAACAAGAAATGAATTTTTCCCTTTCACTGTTTTGTTAAATTATGACAAGCACAATACTAGGAAATATTATTTTCAGGAAAAATTTTATCTGGATGCTACGATGAATGTCCCCTTAATGGTGCTCCAGTAAAACACAATTTAGAGAAGATAATCCTTGTAAATGTTTCTCCCAGCGTGTATGCATACATTAAGTGGGCTAATGGCTTCTGTTCGTTTGTTGTGACATTTGCAGGCGGTCATTTATGTTTTTTGTTTTTTTTAAATTGTCAACGTCAGTTGCATGTAATACGCAGGTCCAGAATAAAGCCTGTTTTTCTGTGGCTATTATAGTAAAGGTCAAAGGCTGAGATGTGACGCATTAGTTGTGCACGGTCTTGATGTCTAAATGGCACACTCATTATGATGGACTTCTACCACCGCATGTGATGGAGCAGTATAACGCTGGTCCGCTTCCTGCTGTATTATCCGTCTCACTTTAGTGACTCGTACATTTTGTTCCTGACACGCTGCGTATGTTTTTAATCCCAGAGGCTTCTGGGAAACAGTACATCACCTAATCAGCAGTAAAATGTCTGGCAATATTTCTTGACAGCGTGCACAATGTTCACACCAGCTAATGTCCTTTTATATTTCACCTCCATTTTTCAGAGATATTTCAGATTGATATCACAATGAGTGGATTAAAATAAACTGTGGTACAGATTGACTTTTATTTTGCTAATATTTATTGAACAGAGCACAGGGAATGTTCACATAAAATTGAAGATTCAGGCATCATTTACTTAGCAAGCCTGCATTCACTGAAAAAAATAATGACTTTAAAGACTTAAATTAAAATTTCTATCTCAAATAAATGCTGTTCTTTTGAATTTTCTATTCATCAAATAATCCTGAAAAAAATTTATTACCCTTTTTCCACAAAAATATTAAGCAGCACAATTATTTTCAAACATTTATAATAATTAGAAATGTTTCTTGAGCAGTAAATCTGCAAATTAGAATGATTTCTGAAGGATCATGATACACTGAAGCCTGGAGTAATGGCTGCTGAAAA